CATATCATGCATCGGGGACAGAGACGACGACTGTTTTCAATGTCGATCGGAAGTTATTCCATCTTACACGGGAAACTGGCAGCAGGAGGTCTAGTATTAGTGAGCCCTTATGCGATAGGGGGAGACAACCAGTCCACAACATATCAAAAAACCTGTGGTGTTGGGCTAAACTCCTTATAAAGTAAGCTTTCTTACCGATCGGTCCTCGCCTTGTGCCACCGCCTTCTCTTTAGATCAGCATTTCACACGGAAGTTGCACGTGTGATCTGACCGCTGAAATAGAATAAGGCTGTAGGGCCAGGTGGATATCCACCAGCTTCTCCGAGTGACCAGCTCTCAAAGACGGGTTGTAGAAGCAGAGCACCGCCACAGCCGACTGGAGCTGCTCCCTCATAGTCCCGATTTTCAAGGAAGGCTCATCTTCGGGACGGCGCAGCCATAGAAGTATCAGTCCATTGTCCATCGCCCTTAAGTTGTATGTTTTCTTTTTTCATAGATTAACTGGCGCCCATGAAGGCTGTGAAGCTCTCGTCGAGATCATGATCTCATTGATTACATTCTTACTTTGCATCAATTATTTGGGCAGTTCCACGCATACTGGCGATTCTCCCTAGTAGTGTTCCTCGGCATCATAGATGCTTTCGATTCGCTTGACTGATGTACCCTTTGAGACTGTTTCTTTAAGCAAGGTGTGCACAAGAAATACACATGTTATAAAATCGCTTTACGTGTTTAGATCGGGTAGATGGTGGACTATGGTAGCCTGTTACTGCCCTTTAATGTCCAGCGGTGTGAAACAAGTATGCTCGCTGTCACTTCTCGCAGTTGAGGTTTTGGCAGTTGCGTTCACTAGACTCGACTTAGAATGTGTGGAGCTGCCGTCAGGTGGCCAACTGCATGTCTTGAAGTGGACTGATTATCTTAGCATAATCTTTTAAGCTTAGACGACTCAACTAGCACTGGCTATCAGTCGTTCCGATCTTTCTCTTGCACCCTCAAATTGCCGTCGCAACGAAACTGGACGTTAACTTGGTGCGACGGTTTGCGTACCTCCTTGACCCATTGAGCTATACTGGGTGATGCCTCCGGGCACCTTGTGAGCTACTCCTACCAGGCTGGTCAATGGTGAGAGGTCAGACAAACTCAGTGTCCTGGTCCTCCAGATTAGGGGTTTGAAATGGGATGGCATCCATTTCTGTAAAACTAAATCACTGCCACCTCCCCACTGCCTTGCGGACAGACTTTTGAGCCAAAGGCTTTGGATGAGGACCCTAATCGTCCTCCTGTCTAGGTCTGGGCGCCCTGGCAGTATCTCAGCCCACATACAACCATGACATTTTCTTCAAACATAAACTTCATCCTGCATCGGCCGTCGCGCAGATTATCAAGGGTCGCCTTATCTGCTGCATACAGCAGGGCGGATAAGCGAAAACATGCTACTGCTGGCGCCTCCCTTCTTTCTTTTCCACCTTTTTCTCTTACTCCCATCCCGGCCCCCATTACTAACCTTCCTTCTATAATTCCCAGCTTAATTGACAGCAACCGAAGTGCTACTGGAGTAGAACCATCTGCAGCCACCATCCCACAGCACCTATCGGACGCCTATCGGCAAAAGTCCCTTATAAGGCCACGCTGTCCCGTTTCCATGGCGACATTCAACGTCCGCACTCTAAGACAAACAGGTCAGCAGGCTGCACTCGCACGCACCTTGGACACACTGGGTGTTGATGTGTGTTGTGTGTCCGAAACTAGGATCAATGACCCTAACGGGGTTATTGAATTGACTGCACCCGGCTTATCCTCTCGTTATTGGTTGCACGCATCCGGAGACGCCGATGCGGCACTCACGGGTCAAGCTGGTGTAGGTATCATTCTCAGCTCCAAGGCTGAGTCATCGTTGGTTGATTGGATTCCGGTGAACAGCCGTTTATGTGCAGCCCGTTTGACGACATCAGCTAAGGTGAATTCGCGAAGTAGTACAAAACGCTGTTTGTTTGTGATTTCCGCTTATGCTCCCACCGACTGCAGTTCTAATGCAGTCAAGGACACTTTCTATCACGAACTGAACGCGCTACTACGCAGTGCTACTAGTTCAGATATTATAGTACTTGCAGGGGATATGAACGCACAAGTAGGGCGTCTGAGCTCTTCAGAAGCTCAGCTGGGTGGTAAGTATGGACTTAACTCCGAACGGACTGACAACGGCGAGCGTCTGCTGCAACTGTGTGCGGAGCACCAGTTGTTTCTTAGTAGCAGCTGCTTTTAGACACAGTGGGCGCCGAAGTGCCACTTGTCGTCCACCTGTAGCTGGCCAGCGATGGACCCAAATTGAGCACATAGCCATAAGTTACAGATGGCGCGGTTCTATCCTGAATTGCCGCTCGTACTGGAGTACCTGTGTCGACTCTGATCATGCCTCGGTACGTTGTCGTTTCTCCATGAACTTCACCGGAAAGCGCACAAAGCGTCCCCTTCGATTGGCAACGGAGAAATTGTCCCAGCCCTCGGTCAGGCAAGCCTATCAAGACACACTGTATACCGAACTCTCGCTGTCTTGTCCTAATGAAACTGAACTTCAGTGGAATAAGATCTCGGCCGCCATGCACGACGCAGGAGTAGCTGCTTGTGGCACTATCCATCGTCACCGCACCAGTCACTGGATATCCGATAGGTCGGTGGACCTGTTGTAATCTAGAAGACACCTCCCGGCTGGCTCTGAACACAATGTGACCAGACGGGCAATTAGGCGCGAACAAAGGCGGAGCCTACGTGCTGACAAGGAAGCCTAGTTGTCCAGTCGGGCTCAAGAAATGGAGGAGGCAGGAGCAGTAGACAATTACCGCCAACTCTTCGAGCTAATCCGCACTACTGGTCCCATAAAACCAGGCGTCAGTGAGACAATCAGAGACAGCGCGGGTGCGCTGATACACAATAAGGAGCGCCGTATGGCTCGTTTGGCCGAACACTTTCAAGATCAGTTTACCTGGCCCCCTGCTCCCGGACCTCTTGCTACTCAGATGATGCAGGACGAGCCATGGAGGGTTAGTGTAGAGCCTCCGTCGGAGGTCGAGGTCCGAAACGCGATCACAGCCCTCAATCGTTTTCTTGCCGCTGGCCCGGATTCCCTCCCACCTGCACTACTAAAGGATGGAGGTGAAATCCTCTTCAAAGCACTGACCTCCTTATTCGAATGTATCTGGAAGGAAGAGAGTGTGCCGGCTAATTGGAGCGAATGGATTATAGTGGCGATATACAAGAAGGGAAGTAGCACAGACTGTTCTAACCACCGGGATATTGGCCTAACGCCAGTTATGACAAAATTACTGTCCTCGATTCTCGTTCGGCGCCTCACTACGGAACGGGGATCTCGGATTAGGGAAGAGCAGGCAGGTTTCCGCCCAGGACATGGCTGTATAGACCATATATTCACACTGCGGCAAGTATTTGAGCAGCGCCGCACATACCGCAGACCGACAATAGCTGTGTTCCTCGATTTCAATAGTGCGTTCGACTCAGTCGATCGATGCATTCTGTTCGAAATACTTGCGCGGAAAGGTGTTCCCACGAAATATGTGAACATCCTTCGTGCTCTATACTCGAACACTACAGGCCGCGTCAGAGTCTATGTTTTCCTATCGGATAGCTTTTCGACTACAAGTGGCGTTCGTCAGGATTGTCCTATTTCCCGGTTTTTGTTCAATTTCGTCGTGGATTCTATCATGGAGTGTTCTCTAGCGGAATCTCACGATGTAGGGGTTGAAGTGCCTCCTGGTGAAAGGTTAGTTGATCTAGATTATCCGGACGATATCGTCTTGCTTTTCGACGACATTGGGGCGACACCATCAACATTGAATAACCTGTCCAGAGTGGTCGCATTATTTGGAATGTAATTCGCACGTTCAAAGTGCAAAGTGTTGCTGCAGGACCACCATCTACTTTATGACCCATTGACGCTTGTTAACGAGGAACTCGAGGTGGTTGATTAATTCACTTATCTTGGCAGTTGCATCAGCAATGATGGGCGCATAGAAACTGACATCAGCTCACGCATTACAAAGGCCAGAGCTGCCTTCTTGAACCTGCGGTATCTTTGGCGACAGAAGGGAGTTACCGTCCGTCTGAAAGGCCGTGTATACAAGGCCACAGTGAGGGCCGTTCTGGTCTATGGTAGTGAAACTTGGCCCCTTCGGTCTGATGATCTGAAGCGTCTTCAAGTCTTTGATCATCGTTGTGTGCGGAGCATTGCTGGTGTCGGATGGCACCAGCGTGTCCGCAACGATGATGTGCGTAGGCGAGTACCAGGTGGTGATAATCATGCTACCTTCGTAGGACAACAGATGTTGCAGCGAGTCAAGGGAGCCACTCAGCACCGTTATTTTACGCGCCTGGCTTCGATGACTAGACTATATGTTACAAGGGCTGATACATCGGCTCCCACTACATGCGTTGTTTACGTGTTACAGATATAAAAAGGAGTTGAGACCAATCGGTTACTTGGCCAAGAAGAATGAAAACTCGCATTTTGTACTGGGCTTCGGTTGGCGCCCCCCACTTCCTTGTTAGAGTCTTAAAGCAACCGTTGCGTTTAGTTTTAGTCCATTGTTCATATAGACAAAATCTAGCCTTACTGGCGTCTGTATTGTCTTTTTCCTCCATCCCCTTAAGATCTCCTCCAACCACGACCTAATTATTGATGCATTATTGAGCAATACAAACACTTCTTTTTTGCTTCTATTTTTTGCGCTTATCTAACCTATTCTTAATGCGGCACGATAGCTGTTTCTCACCTCTAGGCAGCGTGTAGAATGATGTTGTCTGGTGATGGGCAACGGTCGGTGACTTCTTACCCACGCACAGCCTTTACATTCCGAAGGAGTGCTCGATGAATTGGGGCTTACTGCCAGTGTTTTGCGTGACAAACATCAGTTGCTTCTTTCTCATAGAAACATCTTAATATTCCTCTCTTTTTGTCATTTCCTCCTCCACTTATCACCATACAGCAAGGAGTGGACTGGTGCCCCGACTTGATCGATGTCGAAGCCAAGGCCAAGTCTTCTTCTCGTGTTTTACTTTTTGTGTTTGAGACTTGGCGAACTCGTGCGGTGTCCAGTTTCATTGAAGTTTCTTTTCTGGCGGCGCGGAAGTGCAATCTGGTTTTGGTCTTTTCAGATATCAGCGGTGGTCAACTACCTGTGATAAACGGAGAACAGGTTTCAAAGACGTAAGTGTACCACTTGTATTGGATGCATAACAAGTACCAATACGGTACTGACGTATTACACGTGCCTGACAGCTGCAGTTGAGTGTGTGCATAACAGGCGTTATCGCACCTTCCACCTTCACCTGCGCTGTTAGTTTGTGTAAGATTTTGTAGAATGTGAAGTGAAGTCACCGATCATTAGATTGGATGACTTTAGTCCGTCTCGACCTCTAGGCCTTCCGTGTGTTTGATCTGTGATTTTCAAAAGTATATCTCACAGCAACCACCAGCGGTGCGTTGGCTGTCGTCTGCTATTCAGGCCTACATAATGTGTGTATGGAGCCGAGTTACATGTGGTGTGAAGTTGGTTATCCTTCGGGTCAGCGTAAAATCCTCAAACAAACGGTCTGATATGTCGGGCCATACCAATGTGCGGGCATCGATCGTGTGCGCAGCCGGATACTAACTAGACATAGTGAGGTCAGTTTTTAAAAACAACAAATAAGGTTAGATAATTTGTGTTGGTATTGGAACACTTTCTGTGGAGTCTTGTTTTGTTTACCTGATATTGCATGGCACAAGGCTTAACGTAGGCAGAAATTGACTTGGGATCAGGAAATAAAGTTACTGATGGCTAAACTAGGTGCTGTTGGTTTACCTTACATTCCGCGCCACCTCCCTAGTGCTTTCAATTCAACTCAAGCATGCTTTATGCAACAAAAAAAGCGAATATTCATCTGTTACATGCACACCTTCATTATTGTAAAACGAATACATAAGTTAATAAATGATATAGACAGCAACACGGCTACAACGTAAACTTGCTTGTATGCTCCAATATAACTGAGGTGTGGTCGCACACGAAGCGCGCCAAATAGAGCATTGCTGATGAGTTGTAAGCTCTTATGCAGGTATAAATGTACCTATGCTTTTGTCTGATCTAGGAAGTTGATACACAGTCAGACAACAACGGCAGTACGCCAGCCATTTGAACTGATACTTCGCTGCCATACAACCATGAGGACCTATGAACTAAAGAATAAGAAGAGGGAGAGAAGGGTGAATTACCTGAAAACCCTAATATTCTAAGCGAACCTTCAGAGTGAAGTTGTGTACACAACATGCCGTCACAAACAGCTTGCTATCGTGCAAAGATAAGACGGCATCAGCGAGACAAATTCTTCGCGGCTTTCACTGCCACGCGTCATAACCAGCCATTACTCCGCAGATAACCGCGCCAAACACGTCTTAAACAGGCAATCCGATTAGGAGACGGCAGCAGACACGCCACTCTTCTCGGTTGCGAGCCGTGTACTGTAAATTCTCGAACCAAGCACAAGTCGTGTCACGTGGACTCCAGCCCGGAAGGCGAGACGGACCAAAGGCACCCAGTTTGGTTGTCAGTGACTTCATTACCCGCTGCCAGGTCAACTTCTGTCCACCTCGAGCTTTGCGCCACACTACACCTGGCAGACTAAACAAGGCCCTCCTAGGTAAGCGGTGACCAGGCATACGTAGCACGTGCCCGAACCAACGCAACTTATTCAGTGCTACTTGTTGTTCTAGGGAGCTAGCATGATTATCTCTACCTGGTACTCGTCTACGCTCATCATCATTGCGGACACGCTGGTGCCATCCGACACCAGCACTGATTCGCACACAACGATGATCAAAGACTTGAAGGCGCCTCAGATCTTCAGACCGAACGGGCAAATTTTCACTACCATAGAGCAGAACGGCCCTCACTGTGGTCTTGTATACACAGCTATTGTCGGTCTGCGGTATGTGCGGCGCTGCTCAAATACTTGCCGCAGTGTGAATATATGGTCTATACAGCCATGTCCTGGGCGGAAACCTGCCTGCTCTTCCCTAATCCGAGATCCCCGTTCCGTAGTGAGGCGCCGAACGAGAATCGAGGACAGTAATTTTGTCATAACTGGCGTTAGGCCAATATCCCGGTGGTTAGAACAGTCTGTGCTACTTCCCTTCTTGTATATCGCCACTATAATCCATTCGCTCCAATTAGCCGGCACACTCTCTTCCTTCCAGATACATTCGAATAAGGAGGTCAGTGCTTTGAAGAGGATTTCACCTCCATCCTTTAATAGTGCAGGTGGGAGGGAATCCGGGCCAGCGGCAAGAAAACGATTGAGGGCTGTGATCGCGTTTCGGACCTCGACCTCCGACGGAGGCTCTACACTAACCCTCCATGGCTCGTCCTGCATCATCTGAGTAGCAAGAGGTCCGGGAGCAGGGGGCCAGGTAAACTGATCTTGAAAGTGTTCGGCCAAATGAGCCATACGGCGCTCCTTATTGTGTATCAGCGCACCCGCGCTGTCTCTGATTGTCTCACTGACGCCTGGTTTTATGGGACCAGTAGTGCGGATTAGCTCGAAGAGTTGGCGGTAATTGTCTACTGCTCCTGCCTCCTCCATTTCTTGAGCCCGACTGGACAACTAGGCTTCCTTGTCAGCACGTAGGCTCCGCCTTTGTTCGCGCCTAATTGCCCGTCTGGTCACATTGTGTTCAGAGCCAGCCGGGAGGTGTCTTCTAGATTACAACAGGTCCACCGACCTATCGGATATCCAGTGACTGGTGCGGTGACGATGGATAGTGCCACAAACAGATGCTTCTGCGTCGTGCATGACGGCCGACATCCTATTCCACTGAAGCTCAGTGTCATTAGGACAAGACAGCGAAAGTTCGGTATGCAGTGCTTCTTGGTAGAATTGTCTGACCGAGGACTGAGACGATTTCTCCGTTGGCAATCGTAGGTGACGCTTGGTGCGCCTCCCGTTAAAGTTCATGGAGAAACGAGAGTGTACCAAGGCATGATCAGAGTCGACACAGGTACTCCAGTACGAGCGGCAATCCAGGATGGAACCACGCCACATGTAACTTATGGCTATGTGATCAATTTGGGTCCATCGCTGGCCAGCTACAGGAGGACGCCAAGTGGCACTTCGGCGCCCGCTGTGTCTAAAAGCAGTGCTACTAAGAAGCAGTTGGTGCTCGGCACACAGTTGCAACAGACGCTCACCGTTGTCAGTCCGTTCGGAGTTAAGCCCACAATTACCACCCAGCTGAGCTTCTGAAGAGCTCAGACGACCTACTTGTGCTTTCATATCCCCTGCAAGTACTATAATATCTGAACTAATAGCACTGCGTAGTAGCGCGTTCAGTTCGTGATAGAATGTGTCCTTGAGAACATCTGAACTGCAGTCGGTGGGTGCATAAGCGGAAATCACGAACAAACAGCGTTTTGTACTACTTCGTGAATCAACCTTAGCTGATGTCGTCAAACGGGCTGCACATAAACGGCTGTTCACCGGAATCCAATCAACTAATGATGGTTCAGCCTTGGAGCTTAGAATGATACCTACACCAGCTTGACCCGTGAGTGCTGCATCGGCGTCTCCGGATGCGTGCAACCAATAAGGGGAAAATAAGCCGGGTGCAGTAAATTCAATAACCCGATTAGGGTCATTGATCCTAGTTTCGGACACACAACACATCAATACTGTGTGTCCAAGGTGCGTGCGAGTGCAGCCATCATCATCGTCATCATCATACAGCTTAGCTAGAGCATTTGAACACCTCAGCTACTGTGCCGCAATACACAGGAAAAAGGAGAGGGTAAAAAGATTTGAACTGCGGCAAGCCAGCTGAGCTACGGGTAACGGCTGGGCATCGTTCCGTTAAGCTGACAGCCGGCTACTATGCATCAAAAAATTATTACGTAAAATTATAATAGGTTAAATAATGAGATCGTGGTTATAGGCGGAGGCTAAGAGGGATGGGGTGGGACAAAGAAACTCACAGCACGAACGCCACTGAAGTCGGCTCCTAGCCATATCAGCAAATGTGTCCAACCAAACGTGTTCATCGTCTTTCGGACCCCAACCGGGGCGCCGAGGCGCTCTAACCGAGGCCAGCTCAGATGTGAGGGTCTTCATTCCTTTGGATCAATTCATCGCTTGGCCACCCCTCCTCTTCTTCCATCCACACCCCAGGCGCGCAAACAACGCACGTCGCGGAAGTCAGTGTGCTGGCATGCGTAACACTTGGCCGAGCCATCGTAGCCTGGTGCGTGGAATAACGGTGCTGAGTGGTTTAGCTCCTTTTCCTGGCCAGTAACAAGGCGTCGGACACGCTCGTTGCGTACGCGGTGTTCCCACCAGATGTGAGCTAAATTACGAGTGCAGCCTGTTGACCTGTTTGTCTTAGAGTGCGAACGTCACCATGGAAACAGGATGGCGTGGCCTTATAAGAGACTTTTGCCGATAGCTGTGGTGGGATGGTGGCTGCAGATTGTTCTACTGCAGTGGCACTTCGGTTGCTGTCAATTTAGTTGCGAATTATAGAAAGAAGGTTAGTAATGGGGTCGGGATGGGGGTAAGAGAAAAGGTGGAAAAGAAAGGAGGGAGGCGCCAGCAGTAGCACGTTTTCGCTTATGCACCATGCTGTATGCAGTAGATAAGGCGACCCTTGATAATCTGCGCGACGGTCGATGCAGGATGAAGTATATGTTTAAAGAAAACGTCATGGTTGTATGTGGGCTTAGCTGTTGCCACTTCGCCCAGACCTTGGCAACACAGTCAGATAGTACACCATGAACAGTGTTACTTGTATCGGTGATTATTTTAGCAGCATGTCTTTCGCATCAACTGGTATGAGTAGATATAAGGTCAACAATATTCGGCTTTGGAACCTCACTACATCGACACATTTGCGTCACTGAGTTAACTAGGATATTGAATTGCTTCCTTAAGAAACCGGGAAATATCACAGGAGAGCAATAGGTTCATTGGGATAGGACACAAGTGTTAATGCATCTCAGTTTTAAGTAGCGGGTAACAAAGGTGGATCGCAGACTGCAGCGTAGAAAGACTTTTATGAAAATATCGCTTGCATAGAGTAACTAAGAAAGATCACGGCTGAGTGTGACGCCTTGATACTTCACTGATACGATGGTGTGCAACCTCTCCTCGTCTATGGGAATTTCAGGGCAGTACATAAGA